CTATGACTATGCCATTGGTTTATTTTTACAAAAAAGAATACACGTAAGTTTACATGATAAAATACGAAAAGCGTTAAGAAATAATATACGCACCTGAACTCCACTTTTACCCAGTATGGTTTGTTAGAAATTCAATAAGTTAGACTAATATCAAATTACAATAACAGATAAGACAGTACTGTGGCCAATTTGCCGCCAAAAAAAAGAAAAGTAAAGCAACTTTGACTTTGAACTTTGATCTTGAGTGATGTCATGTTAATGATTATAGAACTATATTTAAAATAGATTTAAAAAATAACATAAAATTATAAACATATAGGTACGTATTCTTACTTTCTTTCAGCTGTACGTCACATTTTTCTTCGTATTTCTTCAGAGCTGTCGTGTAGTCTTGAAAATATGGTACATTGTTCGATTGATAATGATGGCGACTAAGATGGCAACCAACAGGAAGTATTCGTCATAACCAACCTCACGTGACCATCCGGGTCCGAATAGCCATTTGTGGCAATTGGTACTCTGGTACCTATACCCACTTCGTTCGATTAATGCAAGTAGCTGCCAGGAGACAGAGAGAGCTTAGGGCAATTATTGCTCACAACGACAAAACTTCTATTTTAAGTGCTGAATGGTTAGATGAGGATGATGTTGACTTGTCTGTTATATCAGTTCCACAAGATGAAAATGATAAATCAGCTACTATGCCCATTGTTACGATAGAGCAACACCTGGATACTCCCTGGGAAGATGATAGCAGCTAGAAGCTATGCTACAATTGTCAGCTATACTGACAATAATCATATTTCTTCTTCCACAAACAATAATATTAGTCTTTAAAACACTTTTCATTGATTCTGCATATAAAATTTAAGTTTAAAAACTTTCTAACTTGTTGATAAACAAGCTAAAGATGCAATCACATGTTTTCTCTACAATTTTGTGCCATTAAAATAGATCAGCACAAAGTAAAATGTAATTATATATTTATTTAATTTATTCACATTATAATTCATTTTTGGGGGGTGGGGGGAATAAAATGTTGACATAATTATTTGTAAAAAGGGGGGGGGGGGTCTTTGAAAAATGTACAGTTGTTGACAAGGGGAGAAGGGGGTAATAATTGCTTAAAATTTTTTGACGTAATTATATATTTATTTAATTTATTCACATTATAATTCATTTTTGGGGGGTGGGGGGAATAAAATGTTGACATAATTATTTGTAAAAAGGGGGGGGGGTTCTTTGAAAAATGTACAGTTGTTGACAAGGGGAGAAGGGGGTAAATATTGCTTAAAATTTTTTGACGTAATTAATGGACGCCCCCTAACTGATCTTACCATATCAATCGAATCAAGAGTCTTAGTCTTCATACTCTTATTTTGTTATTTTTTATGGCAGTGATAACAAAAAAAAAAAATTCTCACTATTTGGGAAAGTTCCCATAAGTTAGAAACACTGCCTGATGGCAAACTGTAGGTCTATATCAAATTGGTTCACTAATAAGCTAGCTCTTTTGAGGAGTAGATGCTAAATAAATAGTGGAACGAACAAGATATGTTTCGGTTTGATAAATAAAAGACAAGACTATAAAACAGACATTTCGATTAGACGTCATGTCCTGAAAACATTCAGGCCCGTTCTTAGGCATACGCTGACTACACATCCGCGTAGGGCCCAGAACGTCAGGGGCCCCCCGTGAGGCAACCCTCGATCCCCCGGATTTTTTTTTTAAACTGGCATTGCAGCCGTCTGTGTCACTCACTTTACATTCCTCATTCTGAAATTTATCATTCTGAGTTGAATTCGGAGGCAGGGGAAGGGAAGCAGCAAGGGGGGGGGGGGGGCTTTGGGGATGGCGGAAAGGAAATCCGGGGCTGGGGCGGGGGGATGGGAAAGAGGAAACATTAATGAAGGTCATTCCAGAGCCACCAACCTACGCTCCATGCTTAGGCCCCCCAAACTCCTAAGAACGGCTCTGAAACATTACAATATAATAAATGTACCAATAGGTCGTCCAGGGTTGCTTACTATATGTATTTTAGGCAGTAAATAGAAAGCATGTTTTTACCCTGGTATTGAATATGTGCAGAGCAGAAGCCGACTCTAGGAGCTTTGAATCGTGAGCAATCTGGTTGTTATTGATTGATCTATATAATTTTGTATCCTCTAATTGTCATTGTGCTTGTTTAATATTTAAGTTTTTATCCCAAACGATGAATGTGATATATGTGATTGTGTTTTGCCGAAGATGCCTCTTCTGTGACATAGATGAGAGGGGAAAAAAAGCTGTGTGATAGGTTCAGTGAACATCTTGTGATTATTGAAAACAACACCCACACCCTCTTCTTTTTTCCAAGTTATCACCAATTACTTCAATTACTTTTCCTCTCTACCGTCTCGTTTTGCCTGTATTAGATCTCTCGCCTGATTATGTTTTGTCACTTTCCTCTTGCTGCCCTCTCGGATGCTACGTTGCAGCTGTTTATATTTATTATTTTATATTATTTATATTTTACTGTTGTTTATTTGATGAAGAAGTCTTATTGACCACACATTTTTTGTTTCGTTTTGTTGCGTAACGGAGGTGAACACAAGGACACATAAGATGTATCCATCCCAACTATAATTTCGTGCAACAATACACCAGCGATAGTGAAGAATATAAACACATTAATTCAGATTTTTCGGCACAATATAACTATATGGAATCAATCAAAACTGTAAATATATAATATGTAATTCTTTATTTGGATTCCCGTTCTCAATGTTTGCTTTTTAAAACTGTAATAACTCTATCAGCTAAAGGTAATGCAGTAAAAACAAAAAAGACATTATTTCAAATTTTAAAATCAATGTACGCGTTATTTTGCAATGCACTATTAGCGATATGGAGGCTAAAAAAAATAAGGGAGGGGGGGGAGGAGGAGATTCCAAATGATGCTCTGCATATCGACCAAAAAATGCTTACACGAAGCAACTACATCACGGTGGGGCAACAAAATTAATGTGTTCTTGTTTGCTTTTGGGGCGTACGGGTTTAAGGGCACGATTTTTATGGATTATGCACCTCTTCGTGTGATGGACACGCACACTGTGTTTGCCTCGCCCCAGCTAGTACTTAATAATTTATTCTTAAAAATTAATAATACTTTTTCGGTTTTTAATCAACTCATAAAAAAATCTGGTCAGTGTGTGATAGGTCAGGTGTGCTTTGGAACATGATTCCAAAATGCATTGCAGAACTTTAATCAATTAATTAGTCCACAAATGGCTTCCACATCTGACTTCATTAATTGGGGTGAATGGTCAAATGTAGATAGCAATGATTATTTTCTTTTAGGTTTAAAGAAATGCAAATTTACAACTTAACTATTAGAAATAGTTTGACTCTCCAGACCTTGTCATAATGACATTTATCATGAACTCCAAGTTAATTATATAAAAGTAGATGAGGGTGAACCTATTTAATTTGATTCATTTTAACAAAATTCACACACAAACCAATAAAACAACCCACCAACAAAAAAAAAGAACAACAACTCCTCACTTAAAATAAAATGTGTTTTATTTTAGTTCACAAAAGAACACATTTATTTTGTTTACAACATAGAAGAGTTGGTTAGTATAAGATAAATAGAAAAATATGAGACCAAAAAAACTGGTGAGATTAACACCCTGAAATAAAATCATGAGATTTTGTGTTCTTTTACAGCTGAACTAACTACTACAACATGAAGCAAAGTCTTCACAAGCAACCAGCCATCATTTAACTTCTGTTAAAGTTATAGGACTTTATATTGACAGATTAGTAGTAAATATGCATGGAGACTGAATATAATATTTTGTATAAATACTCTGGAGACTATGCCTTTAATCTAACCTACATAAAAGCCCCTATTAGCTATGAATGGTTTAGATAGTTAGAAACATTGTAAAAGTTGATAAGAGTAATCAATATAAAAATAAACAGTATAGACTATAGAAATTTGACAAATTCACAAATTTTTGTAAGTTAAAAAAAATTATTGAAGGCTCTTGTTACAGCTTATAATCAAGCATTTAAAGATTTTTAAAGGTTTCTGAATGGACTCTGATGAAAAAAATAATAGCTGAGGAGTTGCAATGTGACATTTGCCAATTTTAAAGATTCTAACCAGAAATATATTTGTTAAAATCAAATTAGTCAGGGTACTGTACCTACTCAACCAAACACAGTAAACTCCCTTTCAAAGTCCAGAAAAATTATTCATTCCAAAACAAAAAGTGTAATAAATAACAACCACAGAGAATACTGGGTAAATATGTTACTGTTAGAAGCTCAAGATATTCATGATAAATAAATAAAATTGATCATCTTGTACAATGATTTTTTAAGGGCAGGAAGCATAAACATCCAATTCATACATCTAAAGAGAATAACAAGTATTGTAGGCATGTCCACAAGTAACAGGTCATACAGTGTAAATATTTGTTCAAAGCAAGAAATGTACAAGCACTGCAATGTGAACAACAGTGTCCTGAGCCCAAATTTGTTCTTTCAGTTGATCTGATGAAACATGTTCAGAATACTCATATGTTAACTATTGTGAATGAATAACAACAACAACGACAAAAAATGTTACAATAAACCTTTTCATTTATCTGGTGTTGACATATTTCTTATATTATATGGAAAAATTCCAAACCTGGCACATAAATGTGTTCCATTTCAGACTATAAAAAAGTATATTTTCTAGCAGTTTATTGGAACACAGAATAATGTGAGGGAATTATTGATTATCATGTTGTAACTGAGACACTTATTTGCAAAGTTTCATTTCATTGATGCATTGCAACAAGAAAGTTGGTTCTTGGTAAAAATCTATGAGAAAAAATATTTAATAATGTGTGTATTTGAATAGTTCATTTGAATGAATTAATTAGACATACCTAGGAGGAAAGTTAAAAGGAAAAAAATAGTGGGGGGGGGGGGGAATTCCAGGCAAGGGGGGATAGGTAAAAATTCCATGCAATAATATAAATCGAGAAAATAAAAATATATAATTAAAAATAGTATTAAGAATAGAAAAAACCAGACATTTTTGTGGTCTTTTAAATTTAGGGGTCTCAAGCTAGCTATATTGTCAGACTATTTTTGCTCTCAAAATATGCTCTTCAATGCACATCATACTCCTGCGACATCAGTAAATAACTTAAACTGTCATACACTGGATGCAGTCAAAGGGAAAGAGGAAAAGAGGAAGTAAGAATGGCCTTGGAAGACTTGTAGGGAGATTTTTCAAAAGAACCTAAAGAAATATTGGAGTATCAGACTTTAACAGGTTATAAAAGGAATGGCAGACAGTAATATGAGGAAATCATTGCTGCCAAAGGGACTATATAGAAAGGGGAACCAAGGCTAAGAAAACACAAACTTAAAATATTTTTAGTAGCTTCAAAAGGTTTTGCTAAAACATTTTGTGAATATTGAAGTTGTCATAGGAGCATTGTATCTTTTCATTAAATTTAATTAAATGCACAAACCAACGACTATGCCGATTAGTGCACTCACATTTTATGTTGCCTTGTAGTGAAGTTAAACAATTAAGGAATGTTTTGGTTGCTTCATGAGGGGTCAAAATTAACTAGATTAGGAATAACTAATTTAAAGTATAGGCATACTTGTAAATCTAATGAGATCTTTGAACTGTATTAAAAATAAATATATGGAAGTATATGAAACATAAAGAAGCATATATTGAAAAGGTAGGGGGGGGGGGAGAATAACTGTGGAAGATCCTATATGGCCTGCTTCTAGTAATCATCTATGCTATCAGCATTTTTTTTTGTTTCAAAATTAAAATGATTTGTATTTTGAAAAATTTTAAAATACAAAAAAAAATCATCTTTTTTTTTCTTCAAAAGTTAAATTAAAGAATAAATATTGTCATGGTTTAAGATCAAATAAAAAGTATAAATATCCTGTCGAAAATTTAAATGTTGTAAATTCATAAATTGCGTCCCCATGAAAATGGACAAAAGTGGATGGTGAAACATGTAAAAGCAATAGCTTTTTTAAAAAAACAACTTAATTCTAGTTTTACAAAATAAGTGTTTTAATTTCTAGCAACTTCTCAATTTATGATGTTATAAAATGTAGAGTAAGGCATTTAGTTTTTCTTCGCACACTCTTTGTAAAATGTTAACACTTTTAACCAAATAAAATTACTGATTTAGTGTCTAAAGAGAATGCCAGCAATGAAATAAACAGTGAGCAAAATAACTAGACATCAATTCAGTTGGCAAAACAAAAAACATAAAAAGTTGATCTTTAATCATGCAAAAATTCATTGGCAAGAAAATTATGCACTTCAGAAATCCATTGATGTTAAGGATGATTAGCAAAACAGTGAAATGTGTTTAAATCATTGGATAATTGGTTTTATGAGTGAAAAATAAGAAATACAGATTTGAATAATAGTTTAAAATTTTTTTTACAATAAACCACCCCTAATAGTACAGTACATTTTTTTTTTTTTACAAATTCAGTAAGAAAAAAAATAATTATTTAACAAGCTATTTGAATTATCATTTAAACCTAATGAAACATTTCTAGATACTGAAGTAATAAGTAAGACATGGCTGATAATACACGAGTTAAACACTATTAAATTATGTGACACAGGAAATAAAACAACAACAAAAGGTAGGCATAGAACAAACAATTCAAGATTAACATAAACAATCATAACTGTAGCACAAATACCCAGTCTTATTGGTGCCCTTTGTAAATATCTTTTGATGTGATTTTATCATTTGGGGATATTGTCATTTGTGAAAAATTCTTGAAGTGCTGAAAATTGTCTGAAACAGAACTATTGAATAACTACACTCATATTAAAAAAATGTCTGTCTTATGCTATTTAAGAGCAGGTACTGTTGATTATTTAAGTACAAATATAAGTCGACCAGCAGTACAATTACTTGAAATAAGGGACAATTTTAGTAATTTATTCAAAGACTTGGAGTAGTGAATATTCAAGTTTTTATATAATACTAAATAACATCAAACAATTTAATGAGTTGTGATAATTTTAATTTTTTTTTTTTAAATGTCAAACCCTTATAGATTAAAATGAATGTCTTTGATTTAGACAAATTTTAAAAGTAAAACAATATTAAGGTACATTAGTGCTTTTCTCATTTGAGCATTAGTCACTGACAGTCCAGTTTTGAGAAAAAAGTCACTGACAGCCCAGTTTTGGGAAAAAAACATGTCAAATTTCTCTTGAGTACATAAATTAGGTCTGAAAGAAATAACATCAAAATAACTATAAAAAAATTTTTAAAATTAACCAACGGAAACTTATGCTGGTATATACCCCACAAAACTATTCAGAAAAATTATCTGCTTAAATGAAAACTTAAGGATAAAACTCTACACCTTTTAAATTTGATGTAGCCTAGTAATAAGTATTTACTTCTGTCAGAAACTTATTTGTTTTTTCATAATTCTTTAGATAATATTTATAACATTTAATTACTTAATGTCTTAACAATTCTAATTTTGAGTCAATGGGGGTTACTCAATGAATGTAGTCACATGAGTAGTTATATAAATGAATAAGTATTTTTTTTTTATTATTATCATTGAAACTTGACATTAACATCCCATATTTGTCCCAATACATCTGAAAACCATAAAAAATTCAATAATTTAAATAAAAAAACAAAACAAAAACAACCCCACTTAAGTTGAGTAACTTCCTAAAGAAATCAAAATTTTGATTTTTACTATTTTTAAGACACATAATTTTACAAGAGTGTTACATTTTGATTAGCTTAGTCTCAAAATGCTAAATCTTTCCCCCCGAAATATGATATAATAACTAAATGAATGCATTTAAGGTTTCAATGGAAAAGTTAAAATTTAATCCTCCATATTGACTAATCCGTCTAGGTATTATATTTATAACTTCATCAATCCGCCTTCAAAAAAATAAATAGTAAACAGCACATTTTTAACTTAACTGCATCAATGATGTGTAATACGTGTGAGAGATTTCTGACCAAACATCAACACTCAACCATGCTCGCTGGGACATCTCCAGCCTATATCATCTTAGTGAAACTTGACAATGTCTGTGCCCTCGTCGCCACTGCAGCTGTCCTCATCCTCAGAGCTTGCAATGCCCAGGTGTTTCTGGGTGTGGGGTGTGTTCAGGTAATGAGGCTTTTCATTTTCATGGGGGACCGTTATACTCCTTACCGTATTGGTGGACCCAGGTCCGGACTGCTGACCAGTGACAAGAATGGCTGAGAATAAAATCGAGGAGGATGTACCATGACATAGAAGCTAAATTTTATTCAAAATTTCAAACCACAAAATGCCTAGGTTAACTGTTGGAAGGGGTGGAGGAGTATGAGAGGACATAATGTCAAGCTTAGACTGTTAATAACTGTAGATTCAGAGAAACAAAGACTAAGAATGATATCACAAAACCAGTTATTTCTTGACTTAAATCTCATGTGATGAGGAATTTTAATAAAATGATATGTTAGATGTTATTCACTAAAAGCATGACATGATGGTGTTGACAGAGCCTCTTCTAGTGTCAAATTCTATGCATTGAAAAGGTAATTAAAAAAAACAACAACGCTGTTCAATCTATTCAGATGTTATTAATTTGGAAACAGAGTAATTTCCACATTAAAAAGGATTAAATTAGAGTGTAAACATTTTTTTTTTATGTCTGAGGATTTAAAAAAAAAAAAATGAAGTTTCAATGAAGTGGTATTTTTGTGTAAATATTTTTCAAATTGAAATTTGTTAAATTTTAAAATGAGTATTGAACAAACCTAAAAATTGTAATGTAGTTTTACAATTTTAAATAAAAACATTTTCTCTGTCAATTCTGTGACATAAATTAGATTTCAGTTATTGAAAATTAACCATCTGTGACAATATTACCTCTATCCCGGTGTCGAACATATCCCCGCTCCCTGGCAAAGGAAAGGGCATAATGTATCCTCATGTCAATATCCATGTACCACTCGTCACAGCTGGCCCCTGTAATAAAAAAAACAACAACAGCATTTAGGAAAATATTTATAGTCCTCTTAAATGTCTTAAACTTTGGTGAGGATCTGTCTAAGGGTACAGTGATTAACTTTTATTATACAATCTCAATTCAGGTAAGGGACTTCTTGGCACAACATGCATTTCTTCTCTTCTTCTTTATTTTAAGGGCCCACGATCAATGAATTGATCATTCTGGCTCCTATGTTTCAGAGAGGTTTGCGATGTTACTGTCCATGGGTTTCAATGGGATACTTCACTGGTTGCAAGGGCGACTCAGCAGTGGTGTTATGAACTGGGGGTTGGAGTACAGGAGGCAATAGACACAAATGTATCGAGTGTAGCCGCCTCAACTGTTGCTTTTGGAAGCTTGTTCCAGTCCCCTATTGTCTTTGGCAGGAATGAGGAGCTTCTGTACTTGCAATGCCCATTTAAATTTAAATATAGAAAAAAATAAATTTAGTCATCTTGAAAATTTAAAATATTTAGCTCTACTTTTACTTTTACTTAGCAAACTCTGAATTTAAACCAGGAGCCCGAATGATCAACAAATTGATCGTGGGCCCCTCAAATATAAGAAGAAGAAGACTTAAAAAAACAACAAAAAAAAAACAACTTTTTCATGTATACAATTTGTTGATAATATTATAGGAAAAAAAAAATCCATATTGAAAAAATTAGAATTGCAATACAATTTGTGGGTATGTGTATATTTTAAGGTCAGGGATACTGATAAGCATATATTTTACCAATTAAAAACAAACAAATCTGAAAGGACAAACAATACAACATTTTGCAGACCCAGAAATAGCTTGTGCTTTTAAGTTAATATAGGCTACAGAAATTCACAGTTAACAATGGTTTGTCCGAGTCATGATATTCAAGTCAGAAGTGACAGATATGAATAAATCTAACAGTACTTGATACTTACCAGTGTGTAATACTGCAAATATACCACGGTGAAGATTTAAGCAACGAGCAGTGTGATTTGACTTGGTTATAGCTATGATGATGCAATGAGGGCGATAGCGAGCTATCATTGCTGCAGACCTACAAGTATAGTGTTAGAAGAGTTCTAGATGATTATTCATTCAATAATATCCACCCCCTCATATTTCCCTGGCTGCAAGTCACGAATATTAGTGGTTACAAAGAATACAAAAACTATAGCACTGCCAATACAACTTAAACGAGTTGGGCCCCAAGCTAAAAATTTGTGTTTATTATAATATTGTCGGGGTTTATAAATTATTTAAATTTATAAGTGTTTATTTCCTTTATGTTTTCCAGTGTCAAACTTTGATAAATTAACAAGCACATTTTATATTACAGACCATTTTAGAACTTTCTTGACATCAGGAAAAAAAAACAACACAATTTCTTTTAAGATAAGCCCTAACATTGAATCAAACATTGCTTGGTTTTTACCTGCCCGAGTTGGTGACTACAATAATGGCAGCTGCAGAGCACCTCAGGGCTGCCTCCACAGCAGCGATAGATGTAGCATGAACATTATCAGTGGGAATTCGTGTTGCCTGCCGGAGATCTCGAAACATCCTGGCGTGGAACAGAGCATTCTCCGCTTCTGTGCAAATCTGCAGGAACATAGATCTTTACAATGAAACTCTTTGATACATTACTTAACAAAAGGAAGAAAATATTATTTTTGAAAGGTGTTTGAAAATTGTTTAAAGATACTCTTTAAATTCTATTTCAGGAAACAAAGCCTAATTTTTAAAAAAAAACTCTGTTTGATGAAACGATTCAGATCACTGTGTCTTCAACATTTCATTATATGAAAACAGTCGCTAATGTTCAAATATAAAGAATTATAATATAAGACCAGGCGAAAATAGAACACAGATTGAATCTGCTTTACAGTGAATAAAAATCACTTGCTTTGAGGTACTATAACTTCACTCACATTGAAGTACTATCATTTCGCTCAAAAATAATTGCCAACATATATGATGGAGTAACAAGAGATTAACCTACCTGCACAAGCATACTGCAGGCAGCTACAGGATGTTTCCCCACTGCGGTTTCCTTTGACAACATGACACAGTCAGTGCCATCCAAAATGGCATTGGCAACATCACTAGCCTCTGCTCTAGTTGGTCTGGCATTTGTCACCATACTGTCCAACATCTAAGAATGGGGGGGGGGGGGGGGGAGGAAGAGTGGATGAACTGGTTAAAAAAATCACCATATACCAACTCTTTTAGCGTTGAATGCTCTTTTTCCTTTATCCGCCTCTAGAGCCAAATATAATACACATCCTTAACATCTTCAGTGCTAGAAATATAGAGAACTCCTATTAAACTATTAACTCCTCCATACAGTACAACTAAATGTGTCATTCAAGGGTCCTGAAGGATGCAACTTGATGTGTCCTGATCCACTCTGACACATTCTCTCATTGCAACTAATAAGTGGAAACAAAACAACTTGTCCTCTGAAACTTCTGGTGATGGCAAGATTCTGTGTGATTTCAATAAGCTTGTTTTGTTTTTCTTCCAAAGGGTTGTAAGAGAGGCAACTCTTATACTCTAGCATGTGCCAAAAATCTTATTATGTTGTTTGCAATTTTTTGCCATTAATGTTATATTTTCGTATACCTTATGCACTTCTGTTTTCATTAGTCCCTATTTTTAAAAAATTAATTTCTAGTGTTTAAAAACAAATGATGTACACATACAGTTCACTTGAAAATCTGAGCTACATCCCTTTGTTTAGGAATATGGACTTTGTACAGAAGTGGTACAGTCGAGGTAATGAGCTAATAAACTAATCTAAGTGGTTAAAAAAACATTATCGTACAATTTATTTTGTGTTTACCTGAGCCGCACAAATAACAGGTTTTCCTGCCAAATTGGCTCTACCAATAATCATTTTTTGAGCTAAAAATACTTTCTCAGGAGGAATGTCAATGCCTAGGTCACCACGACCCACTAGAATGCCGTCAGCCACTTGAATAATTTCATCAATTCTGGAAAACACAAGTAATTTTTATATCAAAATCAATTAAATTATTTAAGTATTTTAAACAGTTTAGATCTTTTTTTTCTTACAATACACTATTCTTTAAAATTAATTTGGATGATTTGATAGACATCTAGCATCAAGTAATAATGATAAGATTATTTTATTGATCCTAAGCCTTCCCAAATAAAAAAATATGCTGAATATAAGTCCATTTTAAAAGCCAGACACAACATTTAAACGTTATCATAGACAAAGTTTTTGTCCCTGATGAAAATACGTTCAACTCTAAACATGAATATATAATTTTTTAAAATAAGGATTAGTTAAATAATGCAAAAAAAAAACTTATCATTATCACTAATTCACTTCAATAAGCTTGACTTACCTCTTCACCCCTTCATAGTTTTCTATTTTAGCTATAACCTTCATCCTCGAGTTGGCCTCTCCCAGCTGTGCACGCACGGCTAAGATGATCTCAGGGCACCATACCCATGACACAAGAACAATATCAATCTAGGCAATAACAAAATTGATTTGAACCATCAACACACTATACTGTTGATTTTTGTTTCTTTTAACCCTGTAACTGTCAAGAACAAATTTCTAGTGTCAAGCCATTTTTAGAATTTTCATATACTTGTCAAAAAGGAAAAAAAACCCTGACTAAATGAATTCAGAGACACTTACAGGTATACATTTTCTGAAAGTACATTGGACAAGGTATCCTTTGGTATGAAAAGAATTTGTTTTTATATTATGTATGTTGATATTGACCTTGACAGAGTGAGTAAAGTAAAAACTTTACTACTCAACTTCTGAATTCAACCCACCCCATATACTCCATAAATTGTTCAAACTATCATAAAATCAAGTTTTTTATATACTAGAACCAATATCCTTTCAGAAAATGACAATTTATAGTTATTTATATGAACAATTTTTATATTGGTGAATTTTTTCATTCGCTACCTTCAAATTTCTATCTAAAAAAATACAATGGAGGAAGGCACAAAATGAGCTTAAAATTTCATTTTCATTTAAGTTATTAAATCCATTTTTTATTAATTAATGCTCCAGATCATATACAAACATAAATATCTTATAGGTAGATCTTTGTGATCAAATCTGTGTCTTTTTCTATTTGATTTCTGCCCTTTCCCAAATGAATTTGTCTGTAACAATACGACTAAGCTTAGGGATAAAATTGTCAATATCTGACTCTTATCTCGACAACACCGCTAGAGCCTATGCTGTCATTACTAGCACAAGGAATATCTCTGATATATTTGCTTTCATTTTAATTTTCTGTGTTAATTTTGAAATCCAAAAGGGGGGCCCTCTTCAGTATCAGATATTATGTCGGTGAAAAAATTTGAGAAAATTTAACATCCTATTAATCACAAAAAAAGTCCCTGATAAAAGCATGTAAACACACTGATACTAAGGGAAAAAGAAAGCAAACTCATTTATACAGAGTGATTTCCCATTAAATAATGTAATTTAAATCAATTCGCATTTTCATGACAATTTTGCTAACCCCTGATTATATTGGAAGCGACACCACATAAAGGGGTATAACAGCTGCTTATGGGCCGTTATGACAGTTATAGGGTTAATGTAAATGTAAATGTAAGGTAACTTAATTTTTATCTATGAGATAGCATGAGTGGTAGGCGGTGCTCGTGTTTGAACTTGGAATCTGAATGTTAGAAAACTATCACTGCTGATTCTTTTAATCGTGGGTCTCCTGAATGAACTTTAAAATGAAATTAACCAAGATAAAATCAACCCTAGGTCCTAACATTATGTTGGAATAGAAACTCATTTAGCGAGAAGAAAAAAAATTAACACAAGGTCCTCACATTATGTTCGATTCCAAACTCCAGATCCTTCTTATCCTTCTCGGTCAGCTCTGGGTTTTCAACTGGAAGCTTCATGGGTATATGACATTGATAGAAGTCACAGATCTCACCATTATTAACAACTGAACATCTCAATGCAACGTCATCTGAGGACAGAGTTAATTTCTCTTAACACCCCATGCAAGGCGGGCCAACTTGCAAGATGTGTACCCTGATGTTTTAAAAGTATGTTTAAAATACTATATGATAACGCTCACAAAAAAAAAAAAACCACCAAACAATCGTGGCGACAATGCATGAGCTTCCCATCACATAAAGTTACTTGACAAACACCAAGTCTAGTAACACATCTAGAAATAATCGGCCGAGCAATGGTGGCAGCAATTCGCGAACTTCCCACCTACTCAAGTTACTTAACAAAGCATGCATTAAAGTAAGGCACTTTATAAAAAAACTCAATTAGTGCTGACATCTGGGAATTTTACTTTGCGCGGCTTTTGAAGAAAGTGTTACAGCCATATATCTATAATACAAGAATTATTAATAATTATGATGCTGCAGGATCTGCCATTAACATTAAATTTAAAAAAAATTAAATCCAAAGAATAGGAACTTAAGGATATTCAATTCATTATCCCTCAAGTTGTGTAATTACTAAGAATACCCATTTAATACCCATTTATTAGTACACACAGGATATAAACATTGCAGCCAAATGATTCTATGAAATCAGAACAGACCTGCAGTGAAGATAAATGTTTTCATATCTGTGATACCCCGCTGAGCCCACCCTCTGTTGACATGATGTTTACGAAACACTCTAGCTGATTCAACCAATATGTGACATTAAAATGTATGTTTACTCAACACTGATGGTGCTTGCCTTTATCTTGAACTTCAAAACAAAGTGGTCCATCCTCTATGTAAATTTGGTCATTTTTATTGGCAATCTTGACAAAGCTTTGGGGCACGTAAACATTCTCTGTGTCTGAAAGCTCTTTGAATGCTTCATCGCTGGTCAGTGTCACCATCTGACCATGACTGAGCTTAATAGGCTGCTTGAGATCCTATACACGCAAAAAGAAAGTTGAATAAAAGAGTTATTAAAATATGAATTTTAAGTTCATCACATTATTTCCAAGTCAGCAAAATTGAGGATAACTACATTAAACCACAAATTTGGAATTTTACATTTTTTGGAAACAAAGTCAAAGACTATTAAAGGAAACCCCAAATATTTAAAAAAATTTCAGCATAGCTCTTTAAAAGAAATGCAAGATTAGATCCATAATGAAATGCATAAATACCTTCTTAAAAGCTCCAACTCGAATACAAGGTCCAGAGATGTCAATGGCTGTTGCAACTATGGAATGTGCCGTATTTTTGGACTCTGCAAAAGCTGCTCGCAAGTTGTGGAGTGTTTGAAGATGATACTTGAATTTAAAGGAGAGCAAAAACAAATAAACAATGTATTTACTTCTTAAATGGTTCAGCACTGAACAATTTTCTCATTATTCTTTTTTACAAACTATAATATAAAAAGTTAAAAATTAATTTAATTAATTGAGGTCTACAACAGCATTAAAAAAAAAGTTATCATAAATAATACATTCTAAATTTATTGTTCAAATTCATGATTGTAATTTAACAACACTAAACAAAGTAACTTACATCAAGGTTCGCATGGGCCAAGTTGAACCTACAGATGTTCATCCCATTATTTATGAGCTGTCTCAGCATATCAACACTGTCACATGATGGTCCTGAGAAATCATCGGGAAGAAAAATGTATTAAAGAATAAATTTAAAAGGCTTCCAACTGGAAGATAACCTTAAAAGAGCATCACTAACATTTTTCTTATATTATTATAGAATAAGTTTTAAAAAATTTATACCTTTTTTTTGGGGCCAATAATATTGTATGTATATTATAAAATCTTAAAATTTTTTTCCCAGACTAAGCTGTAAAGTTTAAAAGTTATCGTTAAAGCCAAGCAAAACATGGAATATTACTTTAACTTACCAACTGTACAAATGATATTAGTCATACGGTAGGCCCTCTCCTGTGACTCAACACTGAGATTGCATATCTGCTGCAGGTGTGTCTGCTTTAAGCTTAAACCTGGTCTAAGGTAGTTTTGATCAGCAACAACAACTGTGCCGGCCATTGTGAAGCTTCTTTCAAATATCTGTGAACTGGTGATCCACCTTTAACAACTGCTAGACAGAACATAAGTTGGTTCTGAATTACAATATTGAGATTATGGAGACTATCAGCATCAATCTGTAATCTAAAATATGTATCGATTTGGTTTTTGTTAGATACACTAGGTATTATCCTTGTCCTACACAAAACAACAATACTTATTTTTATATTCAATGAAATAAATATTCTTAAAAAATTAAATAGCATTTACTGACTAAATGAACCTATTAAATTTAATAACATGCCATAGTCCTAGATTATTGGGTGCATTGATAGACTAGCAGTCACTGGGCCACTATGATAGTATATAGGATTATTCATGATGATACAATTAGTCCTATTATCTTATAAATACAATGAAACCTTTGAATAGTGAACCATAGAACAGCGCTGGCCCTGGAAAATACCACAAATCTTGTCAAAGGGTTTTTAGGGACTAAACTGTATAACCCCGGCAAATAAGTTAACACATGGTATTCTGCGCTGGCTTCAAATAACATCCTGAATTGTATATGACTAGCTATTTAGACTGGCTAATCAGTCTGCTATCGCAATATGTCTTTCTCAAAGCAGGACGAAACAACATGAGAGTGGGGGCTGCCAATAAACCTTGAGAAATAGTGTGTAAATTTAACCAAAACGTGTGAAAGCAAGACAATTGAAAATGGAGACAATGCATAAGTACACATGGGTTATGTTTGGATGTTCATAATAGAAATTGGTTTACATGTTCATATTAGAAATCAGCCATCAATGAACTTCCTTAAATAACAATAATGACTTAATTAGTGATAATTTAGATATGGTAACTGCTGCGGGAGCATGTGGGTTAATTTGTAGAGACTGGGGAGCTAAATAATTTTTATACCTTTCAGTTCTAACTTAAAGAGCAAGAATTCAACCTGATCTTAGATATCTGTGGTGAAGTGAGCGGGATGTATCATCAAAAACTGTTTTTGTTTCAAAGCAGCATTTTTTTTCAATTTGTTTTGCAAATGAAGGATGTTTAGTTGGTTTGATAGCTTTCTTGATTATTCTATTTAATATGTGTTTAATGTCAGATGATAAATAATAGTTAATAATACTGAAGTTCAGTAAGCTTCCAATTACTGCACTGTAGAATAAGTTAATAACTTGCTTATTTACCCCAAAATTGTACACTTTGTTTAAAGATAGAAAAGTCTTTGGTTGACTTTTTTTATACAGAATGTGGTCATGATCATGCCATGCCATGTTAGCTTTTTATTAATAGTGACACCTAGGCACTTATATGTCTTTAATTGCTCTATACTGTGATTTTTTATTGTGAGAGCTGCAAATGGATGATTCCCCCTCCGGAAATGGACAACCATTTTCAAAGTTTTTTAGACATTTATTGGAGAAAATTTTCACTGCACCTAATAAAACGTGTAATTATAACTAAGATGCGTTATGAGCTTTACCATTCAGATATTAACTGATTAGCTACCAGATTGAAAAACCTAGGTCACGTTGACTATGATACAAACGTTAGCGCTACCAGTGGCTCATGGCCATCATAAAAGAAACGCCCCGCAACTCCCAGCGGCTTATGGTAGTTCATCAGTTCAGCCACCGATATTGGAATCATCAACAAATTTAATGCTTGAAACAGTGTATCATTCGTATATATTGTATGCAGGACAGTGGAGAGAACGCAGCCTCAGTACTTATTTCTCTAGTTAATATTTGGTCATTCACCATGACATATTTTTTTGGGCGATTTGTTGAAAAGTTTAGTATCAACACTTTGGCTGTATTCACTTGTTTAAATAACGACATCACATCTGTCACATTTTTTAGCATGATCATTATTCTGAGTGAACCTGAAAATTATGAATAGCACCATCCTTGCTAATAGTGGATATGCTTACCCAGGTCCCTTTAGACTAAATCCCATTCGAACGTCATTTGTGGTAGTTTATTTTAGTTAAACTGAAGAAGTAAGTTTAAAGACATATAGTCCATTCAATTATCTTTCATTTGATAACTCAAGTTGTCTTACAAACCCAACAATATAATAATATATAATATTTTACATCGTTTTTTTAATCCCAACCTCTCACTTCTGATACCCGGGTGCGAATAGTCCCAGCCTTGTGGATACAGTACAAGTACAAGCCCGACAATATTATTTTTAATATTTTTTAATCTCAACCTCTCACGTCTGAATAGCCATTTCGTAAATATAATCCCCACAAATGTGGAGATTTTAGCCTAAGTATTTTTATGTAAAATCTGTTGAGTTGGAATGGGCTGATGGATCGTACCGGTTTCAGTTTAAGTTTAACTTTGGACGCCTTATTTCCAAATCCAATTTTCAAGAATTATAATTGGACTATTCTCTAACAAAATCACGAGAAAATGTTAAAATTACAGAACATGTTTTAAAGCAACTTTTTTACCTTACTTTAAGCGATTTTTTTATTTGACTAACAGCTTTACAGGAAAATCAATTTCTTCGTGTTACGCTTCACACTTTTAATTTACAGTACTGTAATTTCCTAGTTAGTAGATTCACTTTGACCCTCTCCAGTGAAACACAGCCTTGACCATGACCTTTACATTGGGATTTTAAAAAACTTTTGACATTAGAGACTAGAGACATTAGAGATATTACTCTAAATACACAAGATCATACATGTAAAAACGATATCGCAGTTAAATTAATTTAAGCTAACGATCATTACTAGGCATAAAAATTATAAGTTCTCATAAAATATTTGACCAAGCTAAGGCTATAAAATACGTAAAAATAATACTTAAATCCCTTGATTTCATTATTGCCCTGTGACTTTCATTTTTTAATGCGATAAATATTTAATTAGTTCATGCCCATTTAATAAACTAGGAACTACTAAGACTACTAGGGTCATTACTGAAATTAATGATTTGCTTTGCTAGCTGACAATGTTGGAAAGAAATGAGTTTACAAGTTGGTTTATTTATTTTATTTTTGGTATCACCCTGCCATTTTTTGATGTTGAGACCTTTGCATTCAAAGTTAGCAATTTCAATATTTTTCCACCTTACAACTTCAAGCTTCTTTAACAGCCGAGGATAATATAGGAGAGACCGCGTTCCCGTAAAAGAAATAATTGAACAAGATGGTTTAGGCGTGAAATAAAAAGACATGACAATTAGACGGACGTTACGGCTTGACGCCTTCAGGGGTTGCAGGGACCTTGCGACTGATTTGGTGTTAAATTAATAATGTAACGCGTTACCGACTTAATCACTGTTTTACGTCGATTGACTTTATCTGCTGCTGAGAGATATTTTATTTTCAGCCTAGGTATATTAGTATTTCACAGACACTAAGGCTTTTGCTGTTGTGTTGCGGCTTTGTGAAAAAAATTGGTAACGTAAAAATACGGAATTATTGAAAATATTATGTCTTTCGTATGCCTGCACGAACACACAAGATGAAGGTTGGGTGGAATAATTTCGTGAAAAATAGAATCGGTACTGAACATAGTTCCTTGCAATCTAGTTAGTTTTCAGAAATGCAGTCTCTATGTTTAGACATAAACTTTTTTTCTATTTATATGAAAAGTAAGTCGCAGCAATTTGTCTGGGCGATCACAATTCATCCAAGACTTGTACAATTTATGACGTAAGGGGTGGGGCGAACGTCTTTTGTTCTATTTTGATAATTATGTTTAGAAGCATAAGAGTGGCCACAGGCCAAAACAAGATTTGAAGTGGTATAATAGTCTTACAAGTATTTTTAAGCCACGGTTAAAGTAGCTGTCTGGATTAAAGTTTCAAATAAGTTATTTATGAAAGAGACCTCTATCAGCAATTTTCCCTGGGAAGATTTCATTTACATAAGTGACACTCCTTTCTACGTTGTCACAGGAAGGGAATACTTTCAAAGTCACCCAAGAATATATTCCAAAACCTTCAAAGTGAATAGAGCAACGCTCCAAATATGTTACACGTGTACCGTTGAATGCACAAATTGCTGTTCTATCTCTCTTGCATTTATTTCATCTGCTTCTTCCTAATCTCTCAATTTACTTAGAATAGTGAGTGGACCAAATTTATGCTCTAACCTTTCCTGACATTATAGCAGGAGACTCTTCAATTCCTCAACTACGTCAACAAATGTTGCAGTCTGACTTTTTTGAAACAAGTTAGCTGAAACATAATTATAGCAGCTTGGTTTTGTAGGAACTACAGCCAGATCTCTAGAGATCGGTTTAAACAAAAAAAATAAATAATAAAACAACAATTGTTTAAGCGCTACGTACTAGGGACCCAACTTCCTGTCAAAGTTTCAAAAACAATGACCAAGTAACACGAAAGCCGAAAGTCACATTTCCCACACAGGCCATGGCACAGGTCACGGCACAGGTCACGGCACAGGTCACGGCACAGGCCACGGGACAGGTCACGGCACAGGCCACGGCACAAGTCACGGCACAGGTCACGGCGCAGGTCACGGCACAGGTCACGGCACAGGCCACGGCACAGGTCACGGCACAGGTCACGGCAGGTCACGGCACAGGTCACGGCACAGGTCACGGCACATGCTGTGAGATCGTCTCACGCTGTTTCACGCAGACGCACTAGTAATGCCTAGGTTAGCGAGAAATGTTCAGCACGACGGCGCTGAAGCTATTGATTGCGCTGGCCTTTGTGGAGAAATAAGATATGAAAAAATTGAACTAAGGCAAGCAAGTCGTTCTATCAAAAGTTTGGACAAGACAGACGATGAGTGGAACGTAGGGACAAATAGGACAGACGCAAAAAATTAGTGCGAACAAGGGGTCAAAAATACAAACTGTCCTTACTAAATATGGAAACCTGGTACGCCTATATCTAGATCAGCGTTTCCAAAACTTTTAAGTTTGGCGGACCAATGGCCATATTTATATTTCGAAACTGCCCCTGGGATTGGTGTATGTCCGCGGAACATCATTGGCAAAATCTGGTAGCGATACATATTAAGGCCGCAATCCATGACGTCATTATTTACAAATAAATTCAACGTTCATTGTTTCGTGTCCCAAAAAGTTCATTTCCGTGTCGGTAGAACTTATAGAAAATGTCTTGTTTTGGTTTAGCTTTATTGTAATTTCAAGGAACATCAAATGAATCTGTGTGTCTTATTCTTATTAAATGAGCTGGGTTAGTAGACACACTTTTTAAGCAAAGTATTTCCTTCATCCGAATTTTTATGAAGCAAAATTTAAAAAAAAAATGTATTTTATTTGGGAATTAATGTTGTTGTATCATCTTATTCCTCTCAATAGCAACATACCCGATTCTTATGTAGATATTAATAGATAACATATGACCTATTGTACTTTTCTACTCCCTAGTCCACAGTTTTCATTCTGCAAAGGTCATGTCGCAATCAGGTGAGTCTTGTTACCTGACCGATGCGTAAGAAGTGGGAATATGGGGGTTGTAGGTAGGGGTTATAGATGGGGTTGCAAGTGGGGGCTTTAGGTTCATTCCTGGTGATTGCGATTAGGGCTGATGAGGTGCTGCAGTCGACTCCATTTTAAAAATGCAAGGATAAGACCAGTGTTTCTCAAACTAATTCTATATTCGTCTCCTTTGACGCATCCAGGTTTTTTTAAAATTCACCTTAAGGCTGTCTATGTCCAATTCTAACAGCCACACTGAAAATAGAATATTTTACAACTAAATATTATGTGAAAAATTAACATAATAATTGAAGTGCCCGTTTAGGATCACACAAATTTAAAGTACAACCTAACTGATCTCGTTCAACAGCTTATAGTTTGTCCAGTGGTCGGCAAACTCACTAGTCAAAAGAGCCAAAAATCAGCAGCAGGACGATTTAAACAAAACAACATTTAAGAGCCAAATTTCCTTTCAAGAACCTGTCAAGAAGCAAGTTTTTCGGAGTCAAAACCAATTTGAGGCCAGCTGGCCGAGCCGCACTCAGGTCGTTAAAGAGTCTTATGCGGTTCGCGAGCCGCACTTTGCCGACCACTGAGTTAGTGGGATGGTCCAGCCTGTTGACAACCACACATTTTCTTCTTAACATTCAAACTAGAAACACTTCAATGACTTGACTCTACCAAAACAAGTGTTCAGTCATACAAAGTCTGAAAATTAATTGTTTGTGTATAATTAATCTACTTTATCGCAGTCCTGCACTCGTATAATTTGAAAATTAATTGTTTGTGTATAAGTAATCTACTTTATCGCAGTCAGCACTCGTATAATTTGAAAATTAATTGTTTGTGTATAATTAATCTACTTTATCGCAGTCCTGCACTCGTATAATTTGACAATTAATATAAAACTAAAACAGCGCAACCAACACAGAGAACCGACAAAAAAAGGTTAGGCCGCCCTCTAATAACATTTAATTAAAGAAGTGCCATCTTGAAGTCAGCTGTGGAGGCTTGTTGTGCAAAGGGTTAAAAGTATTACTACGTTTGAACCAGGTTGAAGTCAGCTGTGGAGGCTTGTTGTGCAAAGGGTTAAAAGTATTACTACGTTTGAACCAGGTTGAAGTCAGCTGTGGAGGCTTGTTGTGCAAAGGGTTAAAAGTATTACTACGTTTGAACCAGGTTGAAGTCAGCTGTGGAGGCTTGTTGTGCAAAGGGTTAAAAGTATTACTACGTTTGAACCAGGTTGAAGTCAGCTGTGGAGGCTTGTTGTGCAAAGGGTTAAAAGTATTACTACGTTTGAACCAGGACTGAAAAAGTCGTCTCCTTTTGCATTGAATGGAATGGGGAAAAAAAGAAGTGTAAAAAAAAAAAGTCTTTACCTATTGCGCTGCCCCTGTGATAAAGCCGTGGCTCTAGCCGTGGCTCTAGCCGAGGCTCTAGCCGTGGATAAGACGTTCAGGTTTTGTCCACCAATCAAAAAGACATTAAACGTGATGGCCGACTTAGCCGCAGCGAAAAAAAATCATTTTTATTTTGGTCTAACTCATGGAAGAAAAAAATACGGACGTGGATCTCCAGATCCAGGCATCTCCCTTGACCCGGAATGGTTTTTTTTCCATCCAACATACTCTCTGAAAAAATCTATCGAAAAACATTTTAAAATCCTTCATAATTACCGGCATCTGACCTTGTATGACACTCGCATAAGCGCCCACAGGGGGGGGGGCAAGGGGTGCAATTGCCCCCCCCCCTTGATTGATTGGATAAACAATTTTTTGACAAAAATAGACAAAAAAAGTATTAAAATAAAGAGAAAATAAAGAGAAAGTAACTAANNNNCCCCCCCCCCCTAGAAAGGTTTCTGCGGGCGCCCATGGACACGCGAGATACAATTACTACATTAAGGATATCTATTTATATGTCTGTATTATTGATTGGGGTGATTTGATTTGATTTTTAAAATAACCACGCCCCCCCCCCCAATCCCCCACTTTATTTTCCTTCTTTTTTTTCCAGACTCCACGGGGCAGCCAGACCTTGGAATGTGTGACGGGGTGAAAGGTCAGCGTGCCCGTTACTGACAACGTTCTCACTTCGACTCAAATATACCAGAACAATCGAACACTACATGCGAGCACACATATATAGTTATGAATATTATGT